CTATCAAATAATAGATTATGTAAGCGTATCTCTGCTAGTTAAGAAGCTATAAGCCAAAACGTAAAAAAGCATACCCTACCCATCCGCCAGCCTAGGCTATAGTTTCTTCTATTTCCTCTGTTTCTCTAAGCCTATAATAACAAGCTAAGAGGATATCTTGCCTATTATAAAGCTAGACTTATTAAAGTTCTAGGTGTCCTTATCTGTAATACTATACTTTGTCTTTACTAATTAAACTAGGCTAAACTAGGGCTAGATAAGCGCTAGGTCTTCGCAGGCAGCTTACTAGCAATTGTGCAGACGGCTCTATTGCGTGCGCAGCTCTAGTGTACACTTAATGAAGTTATTAACCTAGCCAAGATAAGGGCGCGGGGAGGACACCAAACCGCGGCAAAAGAGGCTTAGCGTTAGGGTTTGACCCCTTTTAAGCGATCTGCTTTGGTGGTCCCCCGCGTTACCCTAACACCACCAACCTACTATTACTTTACGCCTAAATTAAAAAATATCTTATACAAACTCAATTTATATATACTTTGCGCAGCAACGCTGAGCGTTTTGTCTGTCTATTTAGCAAAACTTAGTGCTGTTAACATAGATTATCACCGAGCCAGCCATATCACTAAACCAGCCACTAACTCTTGGCACAACCACCTTTTACCCTAACATAGTATACCTTAACAATAACAACTTCAGAATACTACTAGAGAAGGTAGAGTTATCCTTACTATCTAGGCCTTCTATGCTAGCTAATTTCGCAGTATCTGCAGCGCTGCTAGAGCGTTGAACGTACCTTATTAGTAGGTCTCTAATTGCCTTTGCAATATTACGTTTTAACTAGACATACACACTAATTGCTAGAAACTTATTATACTAGAGGAGCAGACAATTTTCTAGTATATACTTAACCTTAATTCGCAAGGATTTGCGCCCCAGCTATGTGAGGTGGCAGATATGGCTGATAAGATACTTAGTGTGCGTGGTGAAGAGCCTGTTGGCAAACTATAGGCTAACTTTAGCAGGCTTGTAACGCGTTCAGACGAGCTCAAAATGGCCTTTAATTGAGCTAAGGATAGACAGAGGATACTATAGGAAGACCCTAAGATAATTAGCACGTAGTTTAAGCTAGTAGAGGATACTTAAGTTAAGTATAGTGTTTAGGCTGGCAGATGGGTAGGGTATGCTTTTTTACGTTTTGGCTTATAGCTTCTTAACTAGCAGAGATACGCTTACATAATCTATTATTTGATAGAAGCGTCTAGTATTGCGCCTTCTAGTAAAAAAAGAATTAGCTTATTCTGCCTAGTATTAGCTAAGTTATTAACACTACCTAGCAAAGTATACCTATTAATAGGTATGCTTGCTAGGTACCCCCCCTTTTTTAACCTTTTCTAGCCTCTAGCTTGTGCAGTTTAATAGTTATAACAAAATCTTTTACTATAGAAATGTAGAGGTAGTTTTTCTCTTTCTTTTAAGCCCTATTTTGCTAGAATCCATGTATTATTGACAAAGTTTTGGGGGGTACCCACGAAGGACGTTGGAGTATACCCATTCCGCCAGCCTAATAGTGTTTGCAATAATAATATGCACAACTTTAATAAAACTAGGTTCTAGATAGGCGTTGCTTTGTCTTTAAAGGTTGTAACAGGCTTAGAGAGACGTGCTTGGCTAGAGCTTGTTCAGCCAGGTGATCGTGAGTGGGTTACCGTTATCCAGAGCATCTGCGCTGCTGGGTATGCAACCCTGCCTTTTATTATCTACAAAGGACGCGTCCACATCTCTGCCTAGTATAAGGAGACAGATATACCCTATAATTAGAAGCTCTTAGTCTCTAAGAATAATTAGATAAATAACATACTTAGCCTTAAGTAGTTAAAGCACTTTAACACACATATAAAGACGTGTTAGGTAGGAGTATATAGGTTACTTATCTTAGATAGCTATTAGAGCTATCTTAACTAGGAGTTTAAGAACTATTACCTAGAGAACTAAATCCTTACTCTCTATATACTACCTTACTTATTACACATCCTCTAGCTACTTAATATAGTCTATTTCTTACTATTAAAGTATAAGTACTCCTAATATATTTAAGACTTAGCACACTAATACATCTTCTATATTAATAAGGAAGGCTTCCTACTAGCCTTTAGGGATGTGTTCCTTAATATATTTATAAAGGTTAACTACTAAAAGGCCTTTAAGGTATTAGGGCTTATTCCTACTAATATATAGGTAGTGTTAGATTACCTTAAAGTATAGCTGCATACCCTACTAGCAGTACCTCTACCTAAAATACTATAGTAACGTGT